CTTACTGCTATCATATAGATGAGTTGGTGCTGGTGCCAAGTTCACCACAAAATGTTGCCAGTACCAGCTTACGCTTTAGAGTATTAATGGAACGATGTACCTCCAAGAGGCTGTTTCAGTAATAGTACCCCCAAGAAGCTGTCTCACATTAAACTTACTTTAAACAAGCCTGTTTTTCCACTTACTTTTGGGGGGGAAAATAAGAACTTTGACTCGCATTTATTTTGGACTGATTGAAAAGAGCTGCATGCCCTATCAGTACTTTTCAATGAGGAATGAATTCACCATCAGTGCAGGAGATAGGTAAATCACACTACACACTTGCATAGAATTCTGCCATTGCTCTTTCATGGCAGGCAGTATAGGTGTCTGAGTCCCCTCCATCACCAACCCCAATGACAGTACTGTTGCTGCCTAAGCACTGATAGCTATTAATGGCAGAATGAAGAAAAACTTATTTATTTCAATGGATTTGCAATCAGTTCTGCTATGAAAAGATAAACAATGACTTGTATTTATATAGTGCCTTTCATGTAAGAGAAACATCCTGAGGTGCTTTACAGAATGAGATTAATTAGAAATGAATTGAATGTTGTTATGGAGACAAAGGTGGCAGCTACACTTTACAAGCAATGAAATAAGCAAGCCAAATAACTTGCTTTTTCTGCCCCCTGCTCTCTGGAACTCCATTCCAGATTCCCTCTGATTTGCTCAATCGTTCAAGGCACATCTCAAAATGTACCTCTGACCCTGACTTTGTCATCTTTCCCCATCCAAGCCATTTGAGATGTTCTCCTGCTATGAAAGGTGCTGTATAAATGTAAATTATATTGTAAATTTGGAAGTGAACATTGGAGGGAATCTAAACTAAGAACCAGCACAAACTCCACTTCCCTTTGAAATATACCTAAATGAGTTGATCTGTATTCTGATAGTTTCTTCCTCAAACTCACCATTGGTAATGACCTTGGTAACTACAGAATGGGTGAAGACTCATCTCCATTCCCTATCAGTTGAGAAATCTATTAAAACCTGTGATTTTTGATGCAATGAGAACCAAGGCAAGTCCTGCCTGATAGAGCCGATGGAGTGGGGGGGAAAAAAATTCAACATTTAGCCTAGCAACTGCTCTTAACTATTTTTGAAAAGTCTGCTTTGCTTTATAAATCATTGTGTTTCCACTAAGCAGCATGTTCACAAGTCATGCATCAGAAAACTGGACTTGAATACTCCAGAAGGAACAAATAAATTTGTCCACTCAGGGAGGAGTGATTGTTTATTAACATAGTTATAAAACATTAACAATGGGAACTGGCCTACAATTCACATTCCAAGCAACAGTTCTCATGAGGCCTCCCTCCATACCTGAAGCCACAGCCTGACTCGAAATGTGAGTTACATGGTTTCCTAGATATTTTTGCTGCCATTGGCCCATCATTTCAGCATTGCCAATCCCAGCTATCTACCAGTGGATCAATCATGTGCAGGAGATCGCCACAAATCACTGTACTCCCAGCAAAAACATCACCAGACAAAAACATGCTGAAGTCATGGACTCTCATGACAAAGGCTGACAGCTTTTAGTTCTGTAATAAATCCAAAATAAGGCAATGCACTTCAGGTTGATGAACATTGGGGAAAAAAAGTTAAAACATTTTGGGTGCAACCCATCACCTGAACTAGGTTTAAACGTAGTCAAGGTTTACCCATGAACTGCCTGTACAAGGTATCAGTTTCAGTAGCTCTGTGTTTCAACGCCTGAAACTGGTTATGAATTTGGTTCTATATATTTACTGTGTTCTATTCCTTAGCTTTATAATAATCCTTGCATTAGAATACTGTAGCATTTTTCACATCAGGAATTGACAAAGCACTTCACAGGATTTACTGTGAAGTGACTTTTTGCGGGCAAACACAGCAGCCAATTTGCACACATTAATGTCCCACACTGGATTTAGTTCAACTTATCCTTTAAAAATGGCATTGGTTTCCACACCCTGGAAAACACTATATAGGAAAATGTCATTCCTATGAAGTGCAGTTGATCACTGGATCTTTCCATGTGTGGCATTGTTCATGTTTTCTACTGGTTACTCTTTAGCAGTGCAATTGGTTTTTTTTTAAAAAAACATGCAATAGGCTTGGGATAGCCAATTGTAATGTTACCAGTAGAATGGATTGGGGAAACTCGATTGAAATCATTACTTGATCTTAAAAGGAATGGCCTGTAATTCAGAGGTCATCATGTAATCTTAATGGATTTTTGCATCAGTTAAGAATTAATAGCTCTGCCAAAGTACAGCCTCAATCATATCTGACAATTGCATTTCAATATAGCACTGAATCAGTTGTCTAATGCACCATACCTTTGAGAGTTTAAACGTAATAGAGCTCTAGGCTGCAAAGTTCTGTGGCGATGGTCTTAAAATTCAACTCAAATTGGCAAGAAAGGTTTAGTGCGATGGGAACTTGCAGCTCCAAGTGATCACATCATGGGAGAGGCACTAACAAAAGTAATATGAACTGTAGGCATCTCCCAAAAGGATTTGGTTCAACTTATCCTTTAAAGGGTGGTGGTTGTTTGTGCAACATGCATTGGTTTCTAAACCCTGGGAAAATACTGTAAAGAAAAACATCAGTGCTACAAAGTGCAGTTTATCATTGGATCTTTTCATGCAAGGACCAATTGTTTTAAAAAGAGAATGGTCATGGGTGTTAGGGTAGTAAACCTTCGTGGGAAAGAGCTGTTGGGATTTCAGTTCCAGGTGGGTAGTTTATCAAAGTTTGCTCCATTGTAAGCTGACTACAAGTTGTTGCAGCCTTATTCACATTATCCCCATTCACAATACATTTAAAACACAAATGTCCTGGGGGTACTTTTAGCATTACCCCAGTACCACAGCTAAACATTGACCCACATTAAAGTTGATATTCTCACTTAGATACATTAGTGTAAACATATTAAGGGCAGGTATCTTATCATTCTTACCTTGGTTAAAGTTAAACCCAGTGTTTAGCAATAGCCAAGTCTGACTCTAAATCTGCAACCTTCAATTCAGTTTCCACCCCATCCCCCCAAACTTCAAATCTATAGCATTAGATTAACTTCACAGAAGTCAAAATACTGTGACATTACAATTGGCAAATCCATCAAGGATAGGGCTAGATTAGCCAGCAAATGCTATGGCACTTTCATGCTGTAAAGCTACAGAAGAAACATTTTCTGTGCCTGTTATCTCAACCAGTGATCGGAGCAAAATTTCTGGATTGGGAAATGAAACCAAGCAAATCTTATGCTGAAATAGATTAATCTCAAATTAAATGGAGACCCCTGTCGTGAACTATAGGAGTGCATATTTCAGACAAGTTTCAATGATACATTGAACCGTTTTGCACATACCTCAAGATGTGAACAATTTCCATCAATGGTGCAATGCAGCCATTTCTGTGCGATTCTCCCCAAAGAAAATTCCTGCATCATAAAAAGGATCGAGACATTTGGATCAAGACATTTGCAATTACCAGGCACCATTTTCTACTAACTTATGAAAATACATTTCTCACCCAGATGGTCAAAAGTAATGGGTGTTGATCTGATGCTATGAGGTAACCATGCAGGTAGCAATTTTTTTTAAAATTTGGTGGAATCTTTTAGAAGCCTTAACGGAAGCATTACTAGAAGATGCAAGGAACAGAAGATCAGTAGATTGAACCAGTCACTGCCCCAAATGGGTAAAGCAGATTCCTCCATTGATATCAACTTCAGTTTAATTTGAATTTCACAGAAACAGAAAAAACATTTAAATCTTCAATTTATTCTTTGATGCTTCACTTCCCTATAGCTCCTGATCCTTGTTTTCACTGTTATATTGAAAGGCTATGCTGCAAATCTGGAATTCATAAAAGTAGATCAATGTTACTATGTCAGCAAATCTTCCAACTACAAAACTCAGATACTAGATGAGGAAAAAGGGAAAGAAAATCAAATCGGTTCTGCATACAACTGAACGCTACTATGTGTTATCACCTGCTGCAAGTAGTAATAGCTACAAATCAGTAATTCTGAGAACTAGGTATTTATTTTCATTGACCTAAGAAATAAAGTTAGTGTTGTGTAAGGCATATTAAAATATTTTTTAAAAATCCACCAATTCGGATTGAACAAGGATCAATGCCCATATCTGTATTCAAATACCAAAATCAAGTAATACCAATGCAAACCCAAGTGCATGGAATTTGGCCCAGGCCAAGATTTGATAGATTTTTTAAAAAAAAGTTTAGTGCAAGTTAAACACAAGAAACTGAATCATAATCCAAAGGTTCACCAATAAACCAATTCACATGATCAAATATCACCTCCAGGTTATCCCAGAAAATAGAAGCATTAATAGCAATCCTCTGTTACAGCACTACCAAACACAAAATCCAGTTCTGCAAGAACTTTAGGACAGCTGCCACGTTTCCATCAAGTCTTATTTACAGCTTCACAAATCATTGTTTTCACATTTGGACAAAGAAGCTAGTTATGCTACACGAGCAGCTCCCAAGTTAAAATCCTTTGGAATATGGCCTGTTTTCACATGAAGCAATTACACCAATGAAGCTTGGAATTATTTTGGGAGGAGTTTCCTTGCATGGGAACCAAACGTTGAAAGGGTCAACAATAACATTTCAGAAAAAAAATCTAATTCAGCCTCAAAGTGCTAACAGACATTTATATGTACTTTAACTGGAAGTGTACCATTTAACAGATACCTTAGATTAAGCCAGAACTTTAATGACCATTAGAGTGCCAGACCTACCATTCCCAATGAGGACTTCATTTCAGAAATGAACAAACAAGTCATGTAGTGTCATGTGAACATTTAAACGCACAGCTCATTGAATCATCTTCATGGACGAGTGCGAAACCACTGTTTTTCCATCCTTAATGCTTGGTATCAGGTTCCAGCCTGGACTCCCAACAGGATGAATTTTCAAATAATCTTCCAAGATCACAATTTTCACAAGCAAGAACATTTAATTTTCTTTAATGCACACCAGTAATAAAATTGCATTACATTTATGTAAAATAAATGTTCCAGTTTATATATACAGAAACAGACTGTACATACCCTCCCAGACCCAACATCACAAAACGTACAGGCAAAGCACTGCCCAGCTAAACAGGCACAGCTGTGCATCTAAAATCTTAACTGCTCGTGTTGGAGAAAGTTACTTTTAGTCCTTCCCAGACTAATTAAAGTGTTGCAAGCAAGCTGACAGATGCTCCTCATTTTCCTTTAAGTGTTGTTGAACATCTATCCCACAATTGCTTTCGAAGGCCATGGGCAGGTCATTGAACTTGTGATGAAAAACTTCCATTCATTGCCCCTTCCTCATAGTCCATTTGACAGAGGATCATGTTGTTCTTCAGAAAAAATTTGTCTCCCACACAAAACCTAAAGACATGAAATGAAAGTTACAAGAGGTTGCAACCTCCCATATGGTGACTGCGTGCCACAACCTTATACACAATTGCTTCTCAAAAATAGGGCTTAATTGTCAAGCATCCATTAATACTTCTTCATTTCCTCTGAGAATCTCTTGTGGGCACTAAACATGCTCTACAGTGGAACTCCATGAGCAATAGGACCTCCAGTACCTCAGCCATTTATATGCTCCTAAGCATGTCAGTGAAACATAATCAGTAGGAGAGAAGGGAGAACAAGTCATAGATCAGCAAATCTCCTACAACATGCAAAGAGAGGGACAGAGTTTTCAGTTGCCTGGGGTCCCTCGAATTGTCCTAACCTGCAACTTTGACCAACAAACAGTTGTGGATTGAGTGACTTTTTTAAGTGATTATTACCTCCAGAAAAGCAATCAGCCAATTGACTAACATTCGGGTTCCTATTTACTGCTGGGTAAAACAAAGGCGTGTGGAGTAACGAAACTTGCCTAACATTGCCTGGAAAGCCAATTGAATGCCAGGTTTCAAAAATACAAGTGTGAAAGTTTTATTTAAGGGGAGTAACTGGCATTGCTGCTCAGAAAATGAGGACGCACCACATTTTGTACTTTCCTTGACTGCTAAATAAAATTCCCAAATCATAGCTTTCGACACCGGCTTCTTAAGGGAAAAGGAGCTGTCTTGCTTGCAGGCAATGTGATGCACTTCAAGTTTTCATCAGGGCTTGTATAAAATAAAATTGCACACAGGCTTCACTAAAAACAAAGCACGGTATTGCCAAATGTAATTTCAATCCTTGAACTACATCAAGGCACTTGCATGCAAACTGATGACCAATGTCTTTCTTCCAAGAGGAGACTTGCTGGCATTTTCTTCCCTTCAAATATGAAGTGCAATTTCTGAACATTTCTAAAGTGCCAGTTTAATGTAATTTTTAATCCCTTAATATTTCATCTTCTATAGAGAACAATTTGCTCACCCTCTAGGAACTTGGGATCTTCATCCCCATTTCATCAAGTTAAGGCTACCATTATAAAAGCTGGTCTGGCGACCAATTACATTCTTTATGGGAACTCAAGCAATGGTGAAGAAATGAGCTCAGCCTTCTGGAGAACCACTTTGTCAAATAAATTGTACCAGTTATTGAAGCATTTGCTTCACTGGAGCTTTTCAAAAAACTTCTCCATTAAATTTTTTTTTAAAATGTTGATATGATTTTCCTGGCACATTTGGAGCCTTGTATAAAAAGCCCACACCTGTTGGATGTACATTTTCTATGGATGCAATTTTGGAAGTTATTAAATACATTTTTCAGTAGGACAACCACTTTGCCTTTTTAAAAGACCAGTTTAATAATTCAAAGGATTTTAACACAGCACAAGTTCTGAACTCAATTTGTGCATTACTTAATAAAGACTTAATGGCCTTTGCTGTATTTAATGCACTTGCATTCATTCCACTCTTCAACCCCCCTCCCCCAACGTCAGCCCCCTTTACCTCTGGTTACAGAGCTGGCAGGCAAAGCAGTCCAAATGGTAGACGTTATCACGGGCTCTCATCACCATCTCAAAGGCAGGGATCAGTTTGCTGCACGCTGCACAATTCCCTGTGGTACCAAACAGCCTGACCAATAAAAAACACATCAATGATTAGTTCTGATAGCAAGCTCAATACGCATTATTTGAGCAAACTACCGATGCCATTGCACAAAGACAAATGGATATGGTAAAAGCCTGAAAGAGAGCGTGTCATTTGCTTTGCATTTTGAAATCCAAATTCTGCAATGCATTAAAAATGCTTATAAGAGACCAACAGCAACAACAAGAGAAGATAATCCTCAAAAGGCAGAATGTTAATCCTCAATTTGTTCTTGAATCACTTTGGCTTTATATGGAATACATTTAAAAGCAGTCATTTGAAAATGTGCAGTCTTTAATCCAGATTTAAAGTAAGCAACCTGAATGGACCACATGCTATTTGCAATGTAAATGCAGAAAAAGATACTCCATGTCCAGCAACTCAAAAACAAATTGACTTTAATACGTCAGCAATGCTAAACTCCCCTTGTGACCCCAGTGGTTAAAAGTGAGTTGAAGTCATTTGGAAAAATATGTGGAAAGCATTTGAATTGTGGCAACACTAAATTACATTTGTAAAACAACTCACTCAACACTCTGTATTAAGAGGTATTCCAATTGAATTATTGGAAAAGTGGGTAAGAAAGGAAGCATTTCCGACTTTTCAGAACCAGTTTGACGAAACAAAAACCAGAAAACTGCAGCAGTATCAAAAAACACACTTCATTTTGAAGTGGACTAACTTCTGAAAAACTCCACAAATCAATTGTATTGTTCCTGCAAAAACAATGTTCAAGATGGGGTGAAGATAATGACCACACACTACATCAACTCATTTCCTGTACAATTTATTGGTTAACCACCATCAACATTCTTCCAATTACTTTCATTTAAAGTAATCCAATTATCCTTGGTCTAAATCAACTCAAACTGCTTTTAAAAGAATTCAAGCATTCTAAACAGAAAAATGATAGGTACAATTGTAAATGCTAGTTTTTGGATAATAGTTTTAGATACAAAGAAGCTCGCGGCCAAACACACCACTCAAGGTCGGAAAATGTCAAACTATTAGGATTCCAAGGATGAATTAAAAAGCAGCTTTTACACTCAAATGTCTCCATGCAATACAGTATCAGAAATATAGAAACATGATAATTGCTTGGTTTTGAATGCAAAATCACTACTTTAAAGCCATTTACAAAGGTATAACAATTACACTACCATCAGGAAGAGATTTGTAAGTTTAACACCCCTCGTCCATTCCCCACCCCAAGCGAGGAGCAACATATAAAACCTGGTTAGCAGATCTCTTTGGAACTTGAACAGTATTTGTAGGTTTTCTATCTTGTTACAAAACCCCCACAAAAAGCTAGAAGCTGATGCAAGTAAGTCATTTCCACTATTAATGGTTCCAAGACGAAGACACAACATTTTATAAACAAAACATTAAGAGTGTAGACACCATAACCAGTGGAAATAGGAATCCATGTTTAAGAAAGGAGTGTTTTATAGATGCTTCAATTTTGGAGGTATGGAGAGCAAGCAGAATTCTTGTATTTGATACTCTACATCAAAAATTTCAAAAACACATCACAACAGCTTGCTGTCAAGTGTAGTGACTATTTATAGGCAAACAGCCAATTTGCAGAGCAGAGTCTCATAAACAGCCATGAAGTGAATGGCAATTAGGCTGGAGGAGGATTGTTGGTCAGGATACCAGAAGAAACTCCCTTTTCAAATAGTGCCATATAATCCTTCAGGTGCACCTGAGTATGACGGACACTCAATAGGGCAGGACCCAAGCCAAATGTCTAGTTTGTCTAATATTCTATCATTCTGTATCAGGATTTCACAGGAATAGCATTTGAACCACTCAATGTAGTTAAAGAGGTGGCAGCTATGGACTTGCGGATATGGTATTCTCCAAAACAGGCAATTAACAGGATTGTGAATTGGCTCAACTTGAAATGATTATCCTAAGTATAGGTTTAGTACTGTAGTGGAAGTACTTTAATGTTAAGTAGAGAAGCTTGTCAACAAAACAAAGAGGGGAGAATCTCAGGTGAAAGTGTCTTGTTACAACTGGTTCACTTATGACAGGTGCTCAGCAGATCCAGATTGGCTTTAGCGTGGACAGCCCACTTTCCAAGTGTTTTTAAAACAAAGTCTACTTCATTCGTGAAGGAAGCGACATTAGTGCTTTCTATGCTCAATCAATGATATTGCCAACCTGATAACCAGGAAGTCAGCCTTTACTGTAGAAAGCCTGCATGCAATGTGCAGGACATGTCAGTGGCAATCTGACAACATGGAAGTTGACCATTTTCTACACATTTAGTTTTAACATGGGTCAGATATTAGACACAACCATGTTAATGGGGGGGCTGAACTCTACTTAAGACTTGGTACTTTTTCCTTTCCTTGGATTACTGTGATAAAATGTTGTTGAAGATTTTACATAAAGCACTCCCACCCCACCAGCCTAAACCTCATGATTTAGATTTTGTAGACACGATTAAATGTAGCCTGAGTTAATTGGGGATCTTACATTTTCAAAATACTATCCTGGAGTTTAGTTTATGGCAACTGATTTAGAGACAAACAGTTTCAAACTCAAGGTGTTCCTGCCCCAAAGCCTCCTTTGACTCAAACAGTAAGTGTACAAATGGGCTTCAAGGCAATAATGAAATTAACACTCTTAAAAATCACCTTGGAATTGAATGGCATTGACTGGTATAAGAACATTCCAACACGTGTTCAATTTTCTTGGCCAGTCCACTGAGCTGCCCTTAAGGTTTGTCATGTTAGAGATGGGTGTACTCCCAGCTGATTAGAAAAATCCAGCATTTGGTGCCAGTTAGTGGAGTAATGCTCATCCAGTTTTTAGTAAGTGTCTGCAGAACTCCAGCAAGAGCTATATGGAGCAGCGAAGAACAAAACCAGGTGTATTGCTCTGAATCACTACAGTTGCAAATGATGCATCATTCAGTAGTATGAGAGGTATAAAGACCAGTACAATACAACATTGTATTTATGTGCATGATCCATCTGTGCAGAATTGAATTATTGCAGTTACAGGGCTCAATCAGAACTTATTGCAATGGGTACACAACTTTTGGGTCATCACCAAGTGACTTTATTCTGATTTTATGCAGCTTTTCCACCGAGCAAAAGGACTTCTTTGTCAATGAGCTTTGTTGTCTGTGCAGTTATTTTGGTTTAGAAACGCTACTATACAAACCAAGCCACTTTATAGCTTGCAATTTGCTTGCTCAATAAAATTGCAGGCCTGCAAATAACAGCTGGTTACATTTCTGGATACATACAATTACAGCAGTTTTTAAGTGCATCTCCTTTCTTTCACAGATTGACGACATAGAGAAGGATTGAATGAGGCATTTACATAGATCAGGTGACCCAACCAGTCATCTGAAACTATTCTAGTGCAAGTAAAAAGACATCTGAGGCAGAGCCTTGCACTATGGTTTACAGTCACAACACATTTTATTCCCATCACATTTCTCCACTGAAAATGAAACAGAATGGAGCAAGAACTTTACACAGCTTATCTGATGGATTTTAAGCTCTCTTCACACTTTTATTGTTCATCAACATTAGTTTCAGCAGGAAAAATCACTCCATTCTTCCACTCTTCTCTCTACGCCCCTCCATCTAGAGTATCGAAGATTCAAAGTTCTTCACGGGAATTACTGCAAAATAGTGACTATTTGTAATGACAATAATCCTTGCATTTGATATAGAGCCTTACCACGTCTTTGCAACGTCTCAGAGTGCTTCACAGAATATACTGTAAAGTGAATTGACTATATTTTGTGGGCAAAACATAGCAGCCAAATGCACACAGCAGTAGTAAGCAAACTGCAGCCAATTTGCTCACAATAGTGTCCCACAAACAGCCATAATAATAATCCTTACATTTGATATAGCACCTTGTGTTATCCGTCTCAAGATCTTCCTCTTTAAACGCATGTAAAGTCATCTTCCCACCACCCTTGCCCTCCACTGACTCCAACCCCCAGCTCAGGAAGCAACAATATAATTAATGTGCCCAGAAAATTGGGTGGCGTTAACAGCTAATAGTTAAATTTAGTCTCATTACTTCAATGGTGGAATGGAGCTCAAACTACAGAGTGAAAGTTGCCTTCCATGTATTTCACAAGTTAACCTAAAATCTGGGGTTCAGAACCATATTTCAGACTAGTCTATAACAATAGCATTGAAAAGGCTTCTAGTCATAAGATTCTATGATTTAAATACGTCTGAGATAACACATGGGAATGAACACCTAACACAAGGCCTCTTCCAAGAGCTTTACTGCAGTCGTAGCTGTAACTATAACCCAAACAATGTGATTGCCCAACTGGCTGAGGTATATTTAAGAAGTGACAGCTGCAGTATTGAGCACTTACCACATAGATTTCATGTAATGCTTAATATATTTAACCATTTACTTATGTAGAACAAAATGGTCAACAAACAAAAGGTTCAACTGCTACATGATTTTGATGCTGTCTACAGTTTCTGTATGAATATTTTTGGTTAGAATGTTTTAGTTTAGGTTGTTTCACAACCCATCGTTAGGAAAATGGAGTTTAATGTGGTGCCTCGACCTCTCTGTGGTTGCAGATGGAGCTTGATTGACAACAATCACTTGCATTTATATAGCACTCCTCATGCAGGATAGTGTCCTAGAGCATTTGTCTTGGCAAATTAGTAGCTGATAGTTAAATTTAGTTTCATTACTTCAGTGGTGTTCAGAATAACTTGCATCATTGTTCACTTCAAAATGAAGATAGTAGGAGTAGTTTGGGACTGGAGGGAAGATTGCACATTTCTATGTGCAAATACATTAAGTCATTTGTATGTGCTGCAAATACACTGAAGCATGAAACTATACCTTTATCACATCACCTGAAACAGCAAGCTCAGCATGTTGGTTGACATTACAGTACATATGAAACATAGAATTTTAGTACAAGGTTCATAGCAGCTTTGAGTTGAATCTTGTATTTATAATAATCCTTGTTTTTGATATAGTGCCTTATCAAGTTGAGTCTGCTTAAAGCGCTTCACAGAATATATTGTAAAGTGGATTCACTATATTTTGTGGGCAAAATGCTGCAGTCATTTGCACGTAGCAGCATCCCACAAAAGGTTGTGGATTGAGTGACCAAATGTATTTATTTTTTGAGGGATTATTACACACGGAAAGGAATCTGCCAATCGACTAAATTTAGCCCAAATGAGATAAAAACCAAAAGCAGGTCCTGCCAAAACTGACAATTTGTTTTCCACTTTCCAGAACACAGCATGTAGATTTGTGTTTCTTCAAATAGATGCCCCAAAATTTAGCTTCTTAGTCTGCAAGTGTGATCTAGTAAAAATCCACTCCCAACATGATTTTTTTTTGAGCCAGAGAGATGCCAAAAACTCTCCTCCAGCCTATTAGCAAGTTTGCAATCATTGAGATGCAGAATTTTGCGTTACCTTCTTTAAGTATAAAGGAACCATACTGTCCACTACCCAACCTGCTTCGGGACAAAGTAAACTTTGGTGATGTCGCAAAACAAGGCTTTTAAAAAAAAATGGTGAATGAAAAGATTTCCTAAAATGTCAGTTCCAGATATCCGATTCAGAAGGCAATAATTCTCCTCATTGTGCTGAGGCTAAAACTAAAACTCCTCTTTAAGTATAGAAGATCTTAGTTGAAGGGTTAATAGTGCAATAGCACCAAAGTAGTAATGGGATTATAAAAATTTCAGGTCTAGAAAGGAAGCCAATGGGAGCTATGCAATCCTATTCCCCTGCACTTCTCCCAATCTTCAGCATCAGCCAAGAGTAGGTGGGAGAATATACATTAAACCACTTAAGGGCATGGACAAAAATAATCAAATAATTAGGCACTTGTTTATCCTCTATACATTTTCACACACCAAAATGGCAAAGGTCATCTGATTTAACTTCCATTCCAATCTGAGGAAGATGTACCAAGAAAATATTTAGGAAGCTGAATCTCATGAGGCTTAGTGAAGGCATAGAGATTGCATTCAGTCTCGCAGTTTTTAAAAAAGTGGTGGTTTTGAATCAAGTTATTTCCTGGGGCTTCTGTCTTACTAGCCTAAAGAAATTAATCTTAATCTTCATCTAATAGTGGTCTTGTGCATATTGCATGAACATTCCAGGATAATGTCTAATCGTTTCTCTCCAAAAGATAGTTAGGCTGCAATAGTCACCAAACGTGCCCAGATAGGCTTCAGGCTATTGAAGATGTGAATAGAATAGTCAGAAAAAAAACAATTTACTGCATTGGTATTTTAACATACTGTACACTTTTCCACTTGGCATTGTGCCTTATTGCTTGGAGGTCAAAAATTCTTCAGCATCATCAATAGAAGCCCTGAGATGAACCACTTTTCTTTCAGAGCCAAGCTCCATTAGAAACAATACAGTAGAGTTACATGAAGCTTAACATTGACCTTGTAACGAACAGTTAAGGGTGGCTGCCAAATCTAGATCAACAGGTTTGCAGCAATGATCTGGTTCCGGCAAATTTATCATTTATATGGAACACAATTGTGATAGATACTGCTCACTTGGAGATTGACTGCAGTAGAGCAGCTGGTATTTGTGAGTTCATCGGATTTCTAAGCCAAATGCTTTTGCAACCATTCTTGCAGAGAACCATAGGAAAAGCAGGCACCAGGGCAGGATGGGAACAGTCAGTCTGGAATACACAACACACCTTTAAATATAGAAGATCTTAGTTGAAGTGTTAATAGTGCAATAGCACCAAGGTAGCAAAGGGATTATAGAAATTTCAGTTCTAAAAAGGAAGCTAATTGGAGCTATGCAATTCTATTCCCCTGCACTTCTCTCAAACCAATAGTTACATTAAATCAGGTAGTCAATTCTGTAGAAAGAAAGAAAACAGAACTAGGATCCACATGTACTGCTGAAACACCAATTGAATAGTTCTGAAGTGGAACAACAAGATGCATAGCTTGGTTCTGAAGTCAAGTCTATATCTCGGGATATCTGAAAGAAGTTCTGTAGTGAGGAAGGAAGGCTTTACCTAGCAAAATCTGAAGTGAGCAATGCCACACCTCCTGATGTTTGATCCAGCACTTGAATTCTGTGAAGGAGTTAATCACAATACAACAAAGCAACGGTTTTCTAGAACAGTTCCAGGTCCTCTGGACATCAGCCTTTATAGATTCCCAAGCCAATTTAAATACATGCTATAGCCAATGGAGGATTTACTGTGACAAAGGCCTTGTAACCCAAGGTCAAGTCAAGAGGAAATTTCCATTGGTAACTTAACTACTATATTGCATCTCACACACTCTAGTCTTACAAAACATAAATGGCTGCTAGCCACTTTCCTGGACAAGTTCAAAAATTGGCAAAATTCACAACTTATTTAGAATGAAAGTTTTCCAGGACTTGAGCTAATTTATGGCTGTGAATGAAATTGATAACTTATTGGGTTACAGAATTTCTAATGGACACAATACAAGATATGTATCCAAAAGGGAATGACAGAGAAATCGGGGAGGCTTGACCAATGCAGGTGGAGATAACGTGTTCCTTTCAGGTTCTTTAAAATTAGTAGTCTGATTTCCCCTGTTAGCAATAAAGCTAATCCCAAATTGGAGGGATTGATAGATAGTATTGAAATACTCAGTTTCTGCAACCGGAGACACTAGCTTTGTTTAGTTGCATACAAGGGATGTATGCCATTTACCTACATTTTCATGGTACTGAACACACAAACTTGCAACAAAAAGTACAATTTACCTCAAATAGTCCCTGCGGCAGAGAATTAGGTTTGCTTTTGTGTAGAGAGTTGATCCAACTTCTCCAAGGCGGCAATCACAACAAGCACATTTTAGACAGTCTTCATGCCAGTATTTATCCAGTGCCTTTAGCAGGTAGCGGTCCTTGATCTTGCGATTACAGCCAGCACAGCCTTTTTGCTTTCCTTTTGGCTGCACGGAAAGCATTGGTACACCTGCAATTCAAGTGAAATCTTCAATTAGGCTTCCAAACATTCCTCTTCAACCACAAGATTTGTTAAGTCTGCACGTTCACATTTCAAATGATGACCCACATAGAGTGACCTTTAGAAGTTGGACAGGAAACTGAAATCACAATTGCTTTAATCCACTTCCAAGTATAGAACAAGCAGCTACAAGAAACCAGTTGCAGTAAGGTACTACTTGCTCTTTCTCCCTCCATCTCCTACTATTTCTGCATGACTAAATGGCAGTCTCCATTTTTCGAGGACTGAGCTACCTATTCTACGAAGCTTTCCCAATTAAGTGCAAACAGGATATAAGAATACTAGTTCAAAGTAGAAGTTATATAAGTTTAAGCACTATTAAGTTAGCTTTGTCCACCTAAGACTGACAATTGCTTGAATAGTCGTCTTGGTAATGCACCATTTGCAGAAATGGCACATATAAAATTCTTGTAGCATAGCTACCCAACTCTGTAGTAAATACTTTTGCAACAAGTCTGAAATGCTCAAACACTGAAAGCTAGTTGTTAATCTTGTGTACAAGAGCTTGCTCATTTCAGACTAAGATATAAATTGATTAACAAAAGTCACACCGTCATTCAAAAGGATTCTAATTTATAGTGCGTTTGAAATGAGTCTTTTGGATCAGTATACTCCTGAGACCATACACAGAATTGACTCAAAAGTTGGCTCAATAGATGGGAAGAAATTGTTGCAGCGGTTATTAGGTTAGGGCTCAAGAGTTAGCTATCCCAAGAGAACAGTATTGTGGTCATTTTACCACTTAATGTAGAAACCAACTTTCCTATGTGTCCAATTAAGCTTTATGAAAGCATAATCCAATTCAGCATCTCCCTAACCACTATCTAATGAGATTGCACACCATTTAGGGGCAGTATGTGAGTTTAATGCAACAGAAGCTACAGCTCAAACAGATCTGCCACATGCACTCTTTCGTAGGTTACACATTTTGAAAGCCAATTCCAGTTTGAATATTTAAGTCATGGAGACACTCTGGTTGTGCCCTGAAGTACATGTCCAACAAATCACTACCATTCACTACTCATCTAAGATTTCTAATGCTACTTTAACATGGGTAGGTTGAAGGATGCAGTTAAGATTCTTACCACCCTCTTGGCAAGATGAAACAATTCAATAAGTACCCTAGCATATAAAATGAGGCAGGATAACCCAAAATGTTATGGATCAATTAAAGCCAAATGCATGGTATGGATCAATTAAATCCAAATGGATGGTATGGATCTATAGAGGAACAGTTTAACAAATGCAAGACATAACATTCTTGCCAATTCAAGGTCTACTGTCCACACAAACATGAATCCAAATCTGTATTAGTTGCATGAACAAAAAGCAATTTAGCTCCTGTTGACATTTGCGGTTTCACAGGAAAACAAACTGCAAACACTCATACATATTCCAGCAACAACAAAACATGAAAGCACAAGAGAAAGTTAAATTGCTGCAGACCATTACTGATCAGACTTCTACATATAGATTTGAGATGGGGTTGAGAAAGTAAATAACTCAAGTACACTAGGGCAAAACAAGAGGTCACGGGTTCAGAGTTGCAAAGGGCAATTTCACTCACAGACATCAGGAAGTATTTATTTATCCAGAATAATTCACATTTGAAACAGGTTACCAGGTTGGAGGCCAGGGTACTGGACTTGTTTAATAATAATACTTGTATTTCATTTTGAGTTATCACATCATTGAGGCTTCTCAAAGCGCTTCACAGAATATACTGTAAAGTGAATTGACTTTTATGGGTGAAATATTTAAACATGAAATATTAATATTTTGTATATTTAAGAAACTTGATGCGGTTATGGAATGGTAGTGTGGGTATTCTGGAAGGAGATTAAATAGTCTGAAGGGCCTTCCGTAGCAGGGCCCATGATAATGTAAAAATCGATAGCAAAGCCATAGCCAAACTTAACTCAAAACCTACTCTTCTAGTGGACATTTTCCCACCTTTCAGATCAGCAGGTGAATCCTTCAATAAATCTCTTTCAGAATTTGAATATAGACAGTTAAATAAAGTTACATATTTAAGAGATCCAATATAATGCTACCTCCCCACAATACAGGAAACATCTAAGAATTAGTCAGATTCATTAATAGATTGCGATCTGCTAAGCTAGTTCATAAGCACATAAAATGAGTTGGGAATAATGGCTTGATTGGATCACTTATTTTTGGAGAGAGAGAAGGCACAGACTATAGGAATGTTTAAGCTAGGAAGGGCAACGAATCTAACCATAGGAATTCTGTTCTCGTTAGCTGGGAAATGAATGTTCTACTGATTATATGAATGTTTTATGCCTTATAAAGAGTTTGAACTGCACAGTTAAAACGTTAAGATTCCTTTTAGCAGTTTGAGATTCATTGAAGTTAAATTAGGGAAAAGTTAAACCAGCCCAAAGTTTCTATATCAATGGACTGTAGGTCACTTTATACCATATACAAATTCTGTTGATTGAAAATTAATGTTCTAGTCTGTTGCCAGTATTCGAAACAACTATAGATGTTTACCTACTGAGATACTTTTCAGGTTAGATTTTGGGGCAGAAAGTGTTAAATAGCCCAACCCTGTATCTATTGCAATTTTAGTTCACATTTTGTGCATTGCACAATTTGAATTGCAACTTTCAGCCCACCCGAGATGCCTTTCCACATCGAACATTTCCCTCAAACTCCACAATTTGACAGTGAACCTGCTTCTAGCTCCATTAAGCAAAGATTACTGGATGGTTGAGTTTCAATTAATGAAACAAGTCAATCATTAAAAGGAATACTGTAGTTTAACCAAGATTGAACATTTTTCCATTTTGCACATCATGGGACTCTCACTTTATATTACCTATGAATCTCAAGACTCTTGCCTACCTGGCAATTCTGAACATTTAGTCCAATTCTAGATCCATCATCAATTTTGCTGCACTTCACTGTACAAGCAAACCCAGTATTTTTAAGGTAGATCTTTCAACTGTTTGTTGAGTATAAAGGCTGCTCGTCTATAGAGTGGACATCAAGATAACAGGATGGTCTACATTCCAAACTTCCCTTTGGCTTCCTTACAACTATCAATAGTCACTTGACAACTTTTAATTGGCTAAAATACTTCTACAGCAAAAGGTCAGTCAGTGCCAGGCAATTTTTATCCTGTGTAATTAACCTTTTGCTCTGCCTCGAGTTTGTAGGAATATGTTCCACCTTACGCAATGATTGTTGTTGGGGGTTTGGTCCGGCGGGGGGGGGGAGGGGTGGAAGAGGAGAAAGAAAAGTTTTTTTAAAAAATAAATGGCAATCCAGTAAAAAAAATCAAACACAAAGAAAAACAAAATTTGTGATCTTCCTTCAGAAAGAAGCCATTGCAAACAAATAAAACACATGTAGTTATAATAGTTACATTCCAGTTATCTTAGCTGCTGAATTCACAACTGTGGCAGGTTTACATTGCACCCACATTTATTTTAAGAACCACTTGGCAGTAAAAGTCCTCCAGTCCCAAAGAAGCACCTCACAGGCAATTAATAAAGAAAACACATGTTCCATTACAGCAGTGCTGTCCTTGGATTATACATCTCATTAGGAGCAGTTTCTCTGCCAGTATAACAAAAAGTTTTTGCTATTGTTGAAGAACTTGGGTTAATGTCAGTGAAGTTAAGGTGGAGAAAGAGCGTGTGTTCCACAGATCTAGCCAATATTCTGTGAAAATAAAACCCCTCTTAAAAGGTCTTAAACAATCACACTCCAATAGTGTTGGTCTCTGAACATTTCTAAGGTGCCCCCTCCCAAACTTGTCCCTGTGAAGCACTCTAGGACGCTCCCCGACGGGAAGGGTGCTATATAAATGCAAGTTGTTCTGGAATTTCTAGTCAGATTAGAGGCAAGCTGGGCTTGTGATCCCCACATTATTAAAGTTTCTACCCACCCATTACAAAGCCATGTCTCAATTAAATAGTGTATAATTTTATCTTTCCTAATTAAGTGGGAAACTTGCCATTTTTGCTTTGTGAAGCAGAAGCCAGATATAACAAGTGGATAATATGCATGATGAAAATCCTATGAGTAACTTTATTTTAATGACTATTGAGAAGGACTTGTCAATGTGATCAAAGTTTAGGATTTGCAGGTTACCACAACTGAGCAAACCTCAATTCTTGCCCCCCAGAACTGCATGTTAAAACTAGTTGAAGCTTATAATGTCTTGCATCCAGTTTAGATCATACCTTGTTCCAGCATTTTTATAAAGCCATTTGAACCATTGCCAACTGGGCAAGAGAACAAGTAGAATAGCATACACCCAGATTTGACCATCTTATTTGGTTCTTATTTTTACTGCATACATTAGGGGTAGTGTTACGAGGAACACAAGGCAAATGTTACTCAATATTCTATTTTCTTAACACTGCTAGAAATACAATGAACACTAAAAAAAACCCTGAATGGACCTCCCACTGTACCCAAATAGTTGAACAGTATAGCTGACCATGACCTTCAAAAGCCATTAAATGTGGAACATTACCCCATCCATTTCTTTGAATGATTCATCATGTGGGATTGCCATATCCCTGCAAGAACTCGTGCTTTTACCTTACTAAAAAGTCTGCTGAGTAGATGTCATGCAGAGAACGCCATGTGCCATTAAAACTCAGTAATATAACCAGCAGATTTCTAAATATCGCTTCTAGAAGACTGCTGACAAAACACTCTGCGTAAAGTAGTATTCTGCCAGCCCTATACTCTGACTGCACTCGAACATTTCTGGTCCTCCCAAAGTGAAAGGTGCTGTATAATTGCAATTTGTTGTTTGTTGTTAGTCAGCTGGTGCTCCCCTTCCTACACTGATAATGATAGATCAGCTTGCCATCTGGTTTCTCTCCCCAGCACACAAATGCTCCAAAAATGTACACTGGTGATCTACTAGTAGTCTGGAGTAGAATTTTTTAAAATTTTATCCAGAT